GCTTCGCCACCTTCGAGATCTTCGTGCACCTGCTGGCCCTGTTGGTGTTCTCCGTGCTGCTGGCTCTGCGCGTGGACGGCCTGGCCCCGGGCCTCTCCTGGTGGAACGTGTTCGTGCCCTTCTTTGCCGCTGATGGGCTCAGCACCTACTTCACCACCATCGTGTCGGTGCGCCTCTTCCAGGACGGAGAGAAGCGGCTGGCCGTGCTGCGCCTCTTCTGGGTCCTCACGGTCCTCAGCCTCAAGTTTGTCTTCGAGATGCTGTTGTGTCAGAAGCTGGTGGAGCAGGCTCGGGAGCTCTGGTTCGGCCTGATTACGTCCCCTGTCTTCATTCTCCTGCAACTGCTCATGATCCGCGCCTGTCGGGTCAACTAGCCTGGCAGAGAGGCGGGAGAGAGGGCGCCAGACTGCCGGAATGCTGGGCCTCCGGAGGAACATCCTGGTCTAAAGGCAGTGCCTGCTTGTGCCAGCCGAGTGCCCAGTTTTCTCTGTAGTAATCGTATCTGGAATTGTTTCCTCAGCCAGGCTGAGAAGATCCTGGATCCTTGAGATGTATGTCCTATTATTTCATGCTTTCAGTAGCTCTTCCTGAATTGAGATCCCAAGAAGGGCCCAGGCCAGACAGTCCCACACTCTGAGCATTGGAAAGTGCATACAAGTAGAGTGTCCAGCTGGGTTCCAGGCATTTCCCATGGGTCCTAGGACAGCACTCTTGTGCAGAGGCTTCAAGGCTGGACCCAGGGGATTTCCTAAGAGCTCATCACTCCACCCATCCAGAAAAGACTTTTTCAGGTAGCTGAGCTCAAATGTGTGAGTGAGCTTGTATCTCCTCGCCCGTGCTGGCAGGGAGAAGGGCCCTTCTTCATTCCAGTCCAGGCAGAGACAGAAGACTCGAATAAGAGCAGGAGTGGGCCCTGTCTGGGCAACCATCACCCGAGAAAAGAACTCGCTGTCACGGCGCTGCTTGGCTTCCTAGCTCAGCAAGATTGCGGTCTCGTGGACATTTCCACCACTTTGTGGCTGGCACTGTTAGCATACCTGAGACAGGTTGAGGCGTCCCTAAGGGGCCGAAGAGAAGGTTAGGTCCTCCAGTGCTCAGAGGCCTTGAGACCTACACATGGGGAGCTTGTGGTAGCCCAGGTTTCTTGGCCTGAGGTCTTTGGTTTGATGCCAGTCAAGTGCCAAATGAGATTTGCTGAGATGAAAATAAAATAAGAATGTTTTCCTGAAATGAACAGTAGTTGCTGTACCTCCCAGAGGTGAAATAGGATGAATGCTGGGATGCCTGCTCTGTGGTGTGTCTGGTTACAGGGGTGAGGCTGGAGGTGGGCTAGAATGTGTTGCCACGCTTGACGAACAGTGGGGGCACTTCTGGAGAATCCCTGCTTCCTGCTTTAAGAGGCTGATAATTCTGCCTGTCAAGGACCTGCTGAATAGTTTGTGGCACCAGGGCACGGGGCTTCTTGTCCAGATATGATCTCTGTGTGGCCCATGAGCTGAGGATGGCCGTTATGTTATTAAGGGTAAGAAAGTGAACGATGTGATCACAGATGTGAGCCACAGGGTACAGTGCACCCCTATCTCGGCAGTCTTGCCTCCAGGGTCAGATAGTTCTTCATTGCAGGTGTGGGGGAGGGAGGCCAGCATGGACAGTGGATGTAAGAAGTCCTGCAGCACCCCGGCCTCTACTCACTAGGGGCCCAGAGCACCCTTTACTTGTGACAGAAGTTTATGAAGGCATTGCCAGGTTCCCTGGGGGACAGAGTTGCTCCTAGGGGAAACACTGGCTAAAACATTACTGTCTGGCCCTTTCCAGAGCATGTTTGTTGACCTCTGTTCTAGTGCAGCATTTGGCCTCCTGTGTGAGCTTTAACACCTCAGCTGGGACGGGTGCTTTGTGGTAGAAACCACGGAAGTACTTGAATTGCAGCTGCCTTGCCTGGGTTGTCCCATAGCTGCAGCTACAGTGTGTTCTACCCTGCACTGGCATGGAACTTTTGTTGAAGCCAGACAGGAGGAATGTCCTTGGGAGAGGGCTTCTTTGTAATGTTTCAGGATGCACATAAGCTTAAGAAGCTTCCTTTGGAAAGGCGATTAAAGTGGAGTTGACTGCTGGAAGGCTGAAATCCAAACTCTGTGTTCCCCAGCTTAAGAGTGGGCAGGAGGGCCAATAGGTGGCATAGTGATTAAGGCACTAGACTCCCACATGGCTGATTACAGTTCGAGTCCCAGACCCAGTGGTTCAGAAACCCTGCTGGGTGCATGTGTGTGCCTGCTCAAAATCCTGAGAGGAGCCTGGAGGAGAAGGGATTGCAGTGTGGCCCTTCCCCCCCGAGGGTGACTTCTCACTCTCTCTCTGTATCTGTTTCTCCTCTATGTGCAAACTTATGCACGCTATGGCAAAAACCTAAAAAAAAAAATTTAAATAAAGAGTGGGCAAGAAAGGAAGGCAATTAAGGTGGTGGCAGTTGCAGACTGCCTGGGGACCCGTAAGTTGAGGAGGGCACCCTTCCTCTAACCTGCTATGGGCCTGTGGATTTCCAGGTCCCCTTGGAGCCCTGCCCCTGAAAGCCAGGTAGGCTGGGAGGCAGAGTGTCTGCTGCTCAGGTGATGGGCATGGGTGACGTCGCCTGTGTGCACCCCAATTTCCCCCTCCTCCATTGTTCTAAGCAATCTTCTTGCTGTACATGGGCCTGGAAGAATGCGGTGAGCATTTCCAGTGGGTGGAAGCTCTGGTCCTTCAAGACATGGCAGCAGGGAGGTTTTGCTCTCAGGGTCAGCCTCCGGATGGGGAGAGTTCTACAGATGAAAAAGGAGTGGCTACAGGTAGGGTGGTGAGACACTTGGCCTGCCTGGCCAGCTGGGACTCACCCTGTCCCTGGCTTTTGTGGCTCTCTCTGCCAGGCATGGGAGGTCTTGGCCGACCCGCTCATGTGCGCGGAGGGAGGTTCCTTCCTCGTGCCTGCCCACAGATGGTCCTACCCCTGTGGGTGCTAGGGCCACGGGCTGGCTCCCTTGTCTGGGAACCTGTAAGAGCTAGGAGCTCCGGAGAACCCGATGCAATTATCGCCGGGTGGGGCTCCAGAAGTGGCGTTTCCCAGTCCGCAGGGGCCCCAGAGGCTGGAGGCGGAGCGCTTCTGCTCTCAGCAGGGGACAATGAGGAAGTCTCGGGCCTAGCCAAGGTCACAAGCTCAGAGCCGGTGGTCGGTCCAGGCTGCCCGCCAAGGCCCGCCCCCGCCGGGGCTGTCCCGGGCACCGCCAGTCAGGGGCAGCGACGGG